AAACATACTAATTTTTTTTTTACTTTACATTTTAGCCAAAAAATAAAAAAATTACTAAAATAGTCTGTTCCCAAACGAGACCTAAATACTACTTTGATACTGTTACACCTAAATAATATACTACCGAAATTACCATAATAAAATACCAAAAGCTCTACCTCGCAACATTAAGTAAAAAAAGGAAACAAAAAAAAAAATTAATATTAAAAAATGCTCACTAAAAAAATATAGATTAAAAATTAAAAATTAAAAACTAAAAATTAAAAATTAAAAATCAAATTTTGAAAACTCCCTACTAATCTAGATGATATTTTCTATTAATTTGAAAATTAGCAACTAATTATTATTTTTCCGTCTGTATTTTTCCTCACAAAAAAATTGTTACATTAATATTTTTTTTATTTTTTTATTTTTGTGGAGAGAGGTTTTGGCCTTCAATTTTTCTGGTGGAATACGTTCAAACAAGCAGAAAAAGTGCTTGCGTGCAAGAGGCTTCACAGTGAGAAAGAATAGTGGGTTTGTATAGGGTGTCTTTTTGGATAATAGTTTCAATGTTTGCATGCACGAAAGGTTTAAGTGTGAGATAGAAGAAAAGGGTTTTAGTGCGAAATAGAAGAAATAGTTTACAGAGTGTCATCTTGAGTTACGACTTCAATGCTTGTGAAACAAGAGGTTCAAGTGCGGGAGAGAAATAAGGGTTTGTAAATGGTGTCTTCTTGGGTTATGACTTCAGTCTCCGTGTACGTAAAAGTAAATGATAAGGGTGAGAGTGTGTCTTTTGGGGTCATGGTTTCAGTGCTCCGAAACAAAAAATGATGGCAATTTAATAAAAAGAAATAATTATTGATAAAATATGTTCGTCTTCTTAAACTTATATGTTCATTGCCTAATCAATTGAAATACAAGAACAACGTTGTTTACAGGGAATTTATTATTGGTGATGAAATATTTTTGTCCTTCACAACTTTAGTGACAAAATATTTTTGTTTCCCGCAATTTATTTTTCTAAGACAAAAATATATTTGTCACCTAATTAACAAAAAGATTGTGTTACAAAGGGAGAATTTATTCGTGACAAAATATTTTTGTTTCCCACAACTTATTTTTCTGAGACAAAAATATATTTATCGCCTAATTAACAGAAAGATGAAGCGACATTGTGTACCTAATGGAGTGTTTATTGGTGACAAAATATTTTTGTTTTTCTATAATTTATCATTTCTAGACAAAAATATATTTGTCGCCTAATAAATAGAAATATGTGACGACAAATATGCAACAACATCACATAATAGCTGGGGAATTTATTGGTGACGAATTCCGTTCGTCACAAAAAAAAATTTATATTTTGTGACAAAAATATTCGTCTCCAATGAGCTAAAATAATTTGAGCCAACAAAAAAAATAAAATAATAAATTTGGTGCCTCATTTTTTCACATGAAATTTTTTTCCGTCTCCTGTAGTTTTGAGAAAAATTAAAACGACAAAATTAATATTTTATCATCTTTGGATTACATTTTTAGGACAAAAATAAATGTTATCATAAAATTACGTCACAATAACCTATATTTTATCAGTATGCTTTCATCACCAAATTATACCGACGTTAAAAAATTATTTAGAAATTTGTCGGGGAAAAAAATATTATGTACCATGTTTCATTTTTTATGTTCTTACAAATATCACCATGTTTGTTTTCAATTTTTTGAAAACATTTTTTTAAAAATTTTACTTTCTTATTTTCATATTTTTTTTTGTTTTTGCTGATTTTTTAAAATATTTTAAGCAATTGTTGTAATTTTTAGACACACATAAATTCATTTAAAAAATATAATTTTCGTAAAAATTTTTTTAAAAATTCACTGAATACCAAAAATATAAAAAAAAAATACAAAAAAGCAATATAATTTTTGTATTTTTGTGCATTAATTAATTTTTTAAAATATTTTTTTACAAATATTTTACGTTTTAGATATATTTATGTAAGGTACATCTAAAAAAAAAATTTGCTTAAAACTTAAAAAATATTCATTAAAAAAATATAAAAAATAAAAAATTTTATTTTTAAAAAATTAAATTAAAAAAACTAAAGTGAAATAGAGGATCAGTTTACTAGGCCAAGTTTGGGATGTTTCAAAAAAGCTAAAAAGTCAAAAAATTACTCAAAAAGTTAAAAAGTTAACACTATTACCAAAAGTCAACAATTACGACTGCACAACTCCCAATTCAAATTTTTCTCTACAAATCAATTTTTACAATTTTTTATTACACATTTTTCAATAAAAAGTCAAAAAGTTAACCCAAACATCCATATTTTCAACCTCAATTTTTTAGTCCAAAAAGACAAAAAGTACACTTATTTAGTCTTCCCAAACTTGGCCTAATTTCATTACGCATCTAATTTCATTTTTTATACTAGAGTAGAGGATCAGTAGGCCCACAATGGGCCGAGATAATAGTAAATAGGCTTGGTGGTTGATTAGTGACCGCAACGTAATTATAATCAACTGTACGGGCGGCGCTGCTACTAACATTTTTTTGTCTTTCAATCGTCTTCATATTACGCTTCATTTTATACACAAATACTTATTTTTCATATATTTTTCATGATAAATTGAGATAATTCACAAACTCAATATCAATTTTGTATTTTATTATTTTTTTTCTTAATTCTTTCAAGGGTATTAGGATTTTTGTTTAATGTTAAATTGCCCCCCTTTTTTTTCTTATTTTTTCCGTACATTATTCTATACCCAATATCAATTCTATATTATGCATTTGTCATTTAAATTTTATAGTAATTTTATATTTGAAATTATACTTTATTTCTTATATTATTTTATATAATCACAATTTACAGGAGGAAAAACATGTACAATAATGATACTCTCGAGAAATCTCTAAAGTTTAGATTTACTGCTTCAGTTACTTTTTCAATTATTGAACAGTAAGTTTTTTTATGTTTTGACATCATATTATAAATGATTAATCATTTTACACACTATGATATGTATTTATTGTTTGGATGTTTTCATTATTTTTTCTTTTTGAATTTAGATGTTGTTATGTGATTCTTTTTTGATTAATCGTTGTTGAATTTCTTTTATATAATTGATATTTTAATTTACAATCTTTTAATTTAATATATATATATCAAATAAAATTATTATATGATAATCCAACTACAACTTTTTGTATTTAATTGTTTAATAAATGATATATAATTTCTATTTCTACATATTTTTATTTTTCAAATAAATATAAAAAAAATTAATTAGTTAGAATTAATTTTAATTTTATGTTACTAATTCTTCTTATAATTTAACTATTATTTTTAATATAAAAAATGAATATTTATTTTACTATTTTATAATTTAATATATATCATACAAAATTATTATATGATAATTACACTATTACAATACAATATAACTAAAATTATCAAAATATACAAATAATTTAACTAAAATTAATATATATAAATATTCAAATAAAAGTTTTATAGAATGATAGGGTCAATATTATCAAAATAAATAATTAAAAAATATTTTAATTTGAATTTTAAATTAAGATTGAAATTATTCTTTCATAATACATATTATACCATTAAATATTTTTTTTTAAAAAATAACATATATATTACACGGATTAACTGTTAATTTATATAATATACTAATTTATAAATAATTTTTATGTATCATTTTAATATTATCATTACATTGAATTTTTATTCAATTAATAGCGAATTGTGTGGCGGCTCTGCCTCACAACCGCGCGTGGATATGCTTTTGTCAGTAATTAAATTCAAAATATAGTAATCATGTTTCATATTCAAATTCAATGAGCGGTGGCGACATGTCAATCAAATCAACTCATCGCATAAAATCCCACCCACACACACTCTCGCGGTCTATCTACAAGAGGAATTGGGATCCTCCCCTTGAGGCCCCTCCTTCATTCCCTCTTTGTAGGGGTCTTCGGGTCCACTTTGAGGTCCAGTTTTGATAATCTGAACCGTTCATATTTTTAAATTTATTCAGTATATCATACCTGTAAAAAATCAAGTTGATCGAATATCATAAAGTATGTGTTCGGAAAACTGTTTATTAAAAAATAGTTTGTAGTCCCAATTTTCTGAACGCATACTTTCTGATATCCGATCAACAATAAATTATAAAATATTGATATACTGAATAAATCGAAAAATATGAATGGTTCGGATTATCAAAACTGTGCCTCAAAGTGGACCCGAAGGCCCCTGCAAGGAGAGAATGAAGGAGGGGCTCAAGGGGAGGATCCCAATTCTATCGTTACATCTTTGTTGGCCAATCCAATAGATTCTCAAGAATAATTTTTTTCTTTTTATAGAAGAGTATGAACATATTTGTCTACCAGATTAGATTAGATGAGATTGTTAGTAAGAGAATAATTAGGGAAAAAATTATTAATATGGGAATTGTTAGTGAAGGAATTAAATAAAAATGTATTTATTTTGATAATAATGTGGGAGATGATTAGTAATAGAATTGTTAAATTATTTTTATATAAAATAAATAAAAAATTTATTTCTATATTAAAAAAAAACTAAAATAAATATTAAAATGAACTTTTTTTAAAAAGGTAAATTACAAACACACTTCTTAAAATTTACTTAAATTATAAATTACCTCATGTAGTTTTAAAAATTACATTATGCCTTCTAAGGTAATTTTATAATAAATAAGTCATTTTATTAATAAATAATTAAGTTAAAGGTTTTAATAATGCTAAAATTTTATTTCAATTAATAATTCAGATAATTTTATTATTGTATAAGTAAACAGTTAGAAATTTAATTTTTTAATTAATTTTGTTAAATAAAAAATTCTGACAATAAAATATTTATAATTTTTTAAACCACAAAAAATAATTTATATTTTGAATAAATTTCAGTATTTATAATTTACCCATTTTAAAATCTCAAACAATTTCCCGTTCTATAAATAGCCTTAAACAACAACCATCGAAGCTCGAACACATATCCACTTATTACTCGCAATGGCCAACCCTGCCCTTTCTGCACCTCTCTATGATCGAATCAGTCGTAGAAACAATATACCCAGAGCTATTGAGCTCATCATCCTCTGCCTTATCTTCTCTCTCCTAATCTATCGTCTTCTCTCCCTCAAAGATCATGGGTTCACTTGGGTTTTGGCTCTATTGTGCGAGTCATGGTTTACTTTCACTTGGGGTCTCATTATTAGCACCAAATGGAACCAAGTTGAATACATGACTTACCCAAAACGTCTCTTGCAACGGTAACCAATCAGTGTGTTTGGTTTGAGTTTTTTAGATTAAATTTTTTAAAAATTGAGTTTTTTAAATTTCGTATTTTTTTGTTTTTAGTGAATATTTTTATAATTTTAAACATTTTTTTTTTACTTTTTTAGATGTACCTTACTTAGATGTATCTAAGAAGTAAAAAAAAAAAATGTGAAAAAATATTTTAAAAAATTAAGAAATACATAAAAATACAAAAAAAATGTATTGAATTCTTGTATTTTTTTTTATATTTTTGGTACTTAGTGAATTTTTAAAAGATTTTTTTTACAATTTTTTTACTTTTTAGGTGTATTTATGTTAAGTGTGTTTAAAAAGTAAAAAATTTGCATAAAATATTAAAAAAATTCAGTAAAAACAAAAAAACACGAAAAATAAAAAAGTATAATTTTCTAAAAACTGTTTGTAGAAAAATGAAACCAAACATAGCCAATATCTCTCTCTTATACTGTTCCTGTTATTTCTAGTTCTTCACCATCTCTATTACATACTAATGATGCTAGTTACGCCAAAAAAAAAAAATTAAGGTTGCATTTGGTAGAGCTTTCTAACTCTGATTTGAGAGTGCGAATTATATTTTGAATTTGTGAATTTTTGAATTATGTTTGAGTGTGAAAAATTTGTTTGGTGAAAGAGTTTTGAATTGAATAGGGAATTTTTAATGTGACATTTGATATTTGATACAAAAATTTATAACTTATAACCAAACATACAACTCAAAATTCTATTAAAGCACATAAAATTTTTAAAAAAATTCGGAAAATATTTTTTTCGAATATATAAAAATTAACATATCAATTGCAAAAAAAAAAAATTGCACTGTTCCGATCAACAGGCCGGACGACCGGTGGGACGGCAGGACGATTGGTTAGGCCAAATTTCAAAAAAAAAAAAAAATTGAAAATTGCGCTCTCAAACAGAGTTTTCGGCAGAGTTGTAAAAAATTAATTCCACATATCTATCCAAACATCATATTCAAATGTGGGAGTAGAAAACTCGTTTGGAAATCGTTCCAAACAGAGCCTAAATTTATTTTTCTAACCTAATGATGTTACGGTCTATTCTCTCTCATATTTTTTTTAAATATTAATTAATTTTTTCACTTACTCATTATTAGATTTATAAAATTGATCTAAAACATAAACTTATATCTCATATTTTTCAGTACATAAACATATACATATATTTTAAAAAATAAAAAATAAAAATCACCAAAAAAATAAATAAAATAAAAATAAGTTTCTATCCAGTTTCCTGAGCCTGACTCGTACTTTGATGAATTTTTTTTGCAAGTCATTCTTAGAAAGATCAATTTAATTTAATAATTGTAATGATGTAATTTAAAATTTTTATTTTTTTAAAAAATACTAATTTATTTTAAAATTTATTTTTGTTTAATTACAAATATGATGAAATATTTGTTTATCACAAGATTAATTAATTTATTTTTTTTCATAAATACTCTACACACACACACACACACACACAAAACAAGAAGAAATTCCTAAAAAAATTAATGACTGGAATCATGGAAATATGATTATTAGTGGGCCGCCCGAATTGAATAAAAATTGAAAACGGAAAATGTGTTTATCAAATTCATTTTCAAGTGTGTTCTACATAACAAGAAGTTTAAATCTACATTATATATGTTCAAATTTATGCACTTTTTTTTTAAAAAAAAAAGAAAAGAAAAAAAAGTATGTGAGATTTTTCAATTTCCTTTTTGGTTAATAGGAAGCTTGAGCTCCCTCCTGTGGACATGTTTGTTACAACGGCAGATCCTGTCCTGGAACCTCCTATCCTCACAGTGAACACTGTACTATCTCTGTTAGCTGTTGATTATCCAGCTGATAAGTTGGCTTGCTATGTATCTGATGATGGGGCTTCACCTCTCACCTTCTACTCTCTTGTTGAAGCTTCCAAATTTGCAAAGATTTGGGTTCCATTTTGTAAGAAGTACAACGTTCAAATCAGAGCTCCCTTTCGATTCTTCTCTGTTGAATCTACATCACCTCAAGATGTTTCACTAGAGTTCCAACAAGAATGGAAAAGGATGAAGGTAATTCAATTGTTTCTTTTAATTGCAACATTTACATAAATTGATGATTTTGAATGGTGAAATTTATTATTTTACCCTTACAAGATAAATAAAAGTTCTTCGAACTATATATTTTTGTTGAATAATTGCGCAATTGTAACGGTCAAATAGTAATTTTTGTGCAATTTCGGTGCTCATTCTAACTCAACTATATTATGTAATTTTGGACTAGGGGTATTTATTACAATTTGTGGTAGATTTTTGTGTAGCAATGTGACAATCGTATTGAGTAATGATATTCAAATAAAAAATTATACAAAATTTTCATACTAAAAGCTAGGGACCGAAAGGGGTTAACTTTAGTCGTCAAGGCCTAAGTCTGGATGTATTCCTAATCTCATAGGTTGGCAACTTCTGAAGTGTAAATAATTTTTAAAATAATTTTTTTAAGTCCGGATGTATTTCTAATCTCATAGGTTGGCAACTTCTTAAATATAAATAATTTTTAAATAATTTTTTGGAATCATTCGATATAATCTCTTGAAATAAAAAAAATAAAAATAAAACACCCATGGTTGATTTATTTTCCTTACTTTTTTTGTGAATCAAATTTGTTTATTGATAGAGATAAAAGTTGTTGCAGATGATTCATGACTAACAAAAATGTACAAAACAATGTTTGTCTTCACATATATGTTTGCAGGGTGAATATGAAAAGCTTAGCCAAAAAATTGAAGATGCTTCCAGAAGGTCCCAGCCTTGTGAACTCACGGGCGACTTTGCTGATTTCTCAAATATACAACGCAACAACCACCCCACTATAATCAAGGTATTTCATCACTCCAATATTAGTACATTATAAATGAAAGGTAAATTACATATAATTAGTCCTATAGTTTAACTGAAATATCACTTTAGTTTTTATAGCTTTAATTTAGATAATTTGATTCTTATACTTTTAAGTTTGTTACAATATGATCTTTTCGTCACTTACTGTTAGAATTTGAAATGGAAAAAATCTATATGTAAAATTAGAGTAATCAAAGTGAAATTCAAACTAAACTATAAGGATGCTAGTAAAATATATTTATTACATTGGTGATCCTTACAATTTGTTTTAAATTCGATTTTGGTTCATTTAGTTTTGCATGTGATTTTTTTTTTTTCAAAATCTTAACAACGCATAACAGAGAGATTATATTACAACAAAATTGAAAGTGTAAAGACTAAATTATTCAAAATGAAATTACAAGGGTCAAAGTGAAATTTTATTCAAACTAGGGGGACCAATGATATAATTTATCATAAAATAAATTTGAATTACACATGAATATTTGGACAAATTATGACAGTAATTCACGTACTTTGATCCATGTAATTTCAATTGATTCGATGTTGATCTTGAATTTATGCTTTTATTTCAATTTGGTTGAATTAATTGCAACTGTTAATATTTTTATATGGAAAATATACACTTAAGTGACATGCCTTATATTTTTAAGAGCAAAAATATAATTTACTCAATTCAGTGAGTTGACTTCAGCCAATTCAATGATCATTTTATGTCAAAAACACTAATGACATTATCAATTGTACCAAATTAACGAAAAATTTAAAATTAAAGGTCAAAATTTAACCAATTAAAAGTATAGAAACTAAAATAATATAAGAAACACCAATATAATTTTTCTTTAATATTTTGATGTAAAATTTTAAATAAAAATTCTAAATGTATAGTATTAATTTCAAGGTTATATGGGAGAACAAGGAAGGAGTATCGAATGGAGTGCCCCATGTTATCTACATATCCAGAGAGAAGCGTCCAAAGCAACCACATCATTTCAAGGCTGGCGCTATGAATACTCTGGTATAAGAAGTTTCTCGCGACAACAGTGTTCTAAAAATTATGCAGTGTGTTTGCTTTAATTTTTTGAATTTAATTTTTAAAAAATTGAATTTTTTATTTTTTTTATTTTTAGTGAATATTTTTAAAATTTTAAGTAATTCTTTTATTTTTTTAATGCACTTTACTTAAATATATCTAAAAATTAAAATATTTGTAAAAAAATATTTTAAAAAATCAATAAATACATAAGAATACGAAAAATGTTCAAAATTTTTATATTTTTGGTTTCTAGTGAATTTTTTAAAGATTTTTTTTATAAATATTATATTTTTTAGTGTATTTATGTTAAATATATCTAAAAATTAAAAAAATTACTTAAAATATTAAAAAAATTAATAAAAACAAAAAAAAACAAAAAACAAAAACTTAATTTTTTTTTTTAAAAAAAGTGAATCCAAATTTGGAAACCAAATAAGCTAATGGGAACTTGCATGCCCACTCACTTGAATGATCAATCCATCTTTTTTTTCTTATAAAAATAATTTATTCATACAATTTCATCTCCCAGTCCCCTTGAATGACATGATAATTTTAAAATTGTACTTGCAAGTACAATTTTAAAATTTGGCTCATTCACTAACACATAATAACTGATATAGAACTTGCCAAGAAGTTTGGAGAGAGAAAATTATATGAATATAACATCCTTATTTTTCTTAAACATAAATATGATTAAATTATAATTTTTATGATCAATAATTTATACACAGACACCTAACAATTTGCCCATGAACCAAAGCATCTTTCATCCCTGGCAAAACGACCAATCAGTATGAGATTAAAAAATATTAACCAAAAGGTGAGAATCCTTTTAGAGTACAAATTTTACTGGGAAATTACCCCTCAATGGTAATTTGAAAAAATTATTACAAATATATGAAATTTTTATAATCTTAATTATTAAGATTGATAAATTTTACTATTAATTTGTAATTATTTTTTAAGTCTTACCCTGATTTAAAATTCAACCAATATTTACTGCTTTTATAAATATTTTCAGTTAAATAGTCTGATCGGAATTTTCTCTTCATTCTTTAAGCATAGGGCAAATATTTACCAAATGTGAGAATCATTGTGGGGTGCAACTTTTACATACAAAAAGAGTTGCCCTCCATATATTTGTAATTATTTTTATCAAATTGGTCAATCAATTATTTCTTCTTAAACATATCCCTCTCCCTATATATATTGTTATTTTTGCAAATAATTGTACAATGATATGAACAGACAAGAGTATCAGGAATGATAACAAATGCACCATTCATGCTGAACTTGGACTGTGATATGTACGTTAATAATCCTCAAATAGTGGTTCATGCAATGAGTTTACTGTTGGGAGTTACCAATGAAAGGGACTGTGCATTTGTTCAATCTCCTCAAATCTTCTATGATGGATTAAAGGACGATCCTTTTGGCAATCAATTGGTGGTTTTGTACGAAGTAAGTCAATTGTGAATACAATTTTTTAATCTTATACATGCATAATTTATTATTTTTTCCTTTTTTAAGTATATTACTTAGAGACAAAATATTTTTTATTGTCAAAAATATTATTATTATATTTTTAGAGACGAATATGAATATTTAATAATGAATTACTATTCTTCTTGAACTAAAATTTTTTGTCTAAAAAAATATTATTTTTTTTGGACTAAATTATTTTTTGTCCTAAAAGTGCTTTTATTAGTGACATTTTCAAAAAATTGTTGCTAAAAGTCTTTTTTTTTTTCAAAAAAAATAAACTTTTGGGAATGACTTTTTAAAATAAACTTTTATGATCCTTTTGGCAATCAAATGGTGGTTTTGTACGAAGTAAGTCAATTGTGAATACAATTTTTTAATCTTATACATGCATAATTTATTATTTTTTCCTTTTTTAAGTATATTACTTAGAGACAAAATATTTTTTATTGTCAAAAATATTATTATTATATTTTTAGAGACGAATATGAATATTTAATAATGAATTACTATTCTTCTGAGATCAAATTTCTTGTCTAAAAAAAACATTTTTTGGAACCAAATTGTTTTGTTCTTTTTTTTTTCTTCTTCTTTTAGATGGTTGAATTATTTTGTTCTTAAATGTGAATTTATTAGTGATATTTTAAAAAATTTGTCAGTAAAGATTTTTTTTGACTTTTCGAAATAACCATTTAGTGACAATTTTAGTAACGGTAAAAATTAATCTCTTAATATTTTTTGCAATCACGTTTAGGGAAAAAATAATTTAGTTCCTAAACTCCAAATATGTTTGCAGTGGGTAGCTGAAGCAACTTTCTCCAAGTCCAGGAACAGTTAGAGTTCATAATGCTAAACCCAAAATTAGAGAAATTATTCAGTACACTTGGATTAATGCTCCATTTAATTTATTAATGGACACTTTTCATATTATCTTTAAAATTTCAATGCAAAAGTGAAGTATTTTATAATTAGACCAATAAATTATTAATTTGGAGTAGGGGTGGGCGTGAATCGGTTGCGGCCACGGAACCTTCAATCCGCCATCTGTCTACTAGATTGGCGGATTGGAGAAAATTGATCTACATCCGTCTGCCAATCCGGTGGATGTGGATTGAGCAGATTGGTGGATGGATGCGATTCGGTTTGGCGGTTTAAAATTTTATAAATTTTCAGCATAATTCAATTTGTGCACTTCCTCAAAAAAAATAAAAATAAAAAT